GAATCGTTATAGGAATAACCTACCAAGTCGGAAACATGATTTCTTCTCCCTCCGCACAGATCGTCAACGCAATTGCTGAAAAGACCTTCGTGACTTCTTCATCGGGGAAGCCTGCTCCGGCGTACGGACCCGTTATGGGCGTCGCTACGGCTATAATTGCGACAGGCATTGCCGTTACCACTGCGTTTGGACCTGAGAAGCGCGGCCGTCGCTTTGAGACGGCTGTCGCAGGGGCGCAGGATGCGGATGCGGCGACGCTGCAGAAGGAGGTAAAGCTTGAAGAAGGGTTGAAGGGGGATATTGAGGAGAAGACTGAGAAGGTTTAAGTTGGGAACTAACGTGTTCTCGGGTGAGTGAATCCTGTGGCGGCGGTGGTTAGTTTTCCTATATTTATGACTGGGCTAGTTTAGTCACTTGTAGTTAACTGCATGAGCCGTAACTACTATTACAGACACTGTGCACTAGGATGCGATAACCATTACGGTGGTGGGTAAGAGGAGCCAAGAGGGAATCATTCAGTTTGTTTCATGGTATTCTGTCAAAGTTATGCTGGCCTGGGCATCAGTGTTTCTGCTGTACACATCTCTTCGGGCTGCTCCAGCCACTGAGTTGGCTATTTTGTTTTGCACATAGAACTAGTATTACTGTATCCTAAGTGAGGTGTGTATTTCAATGTAGTACGTCAAATCGCTGAAAGGATGACGATTTGGCATTGGAATTTCGCACTGTAACAGAGTGAAACGGTCTTCGAGATTATGGTGGAGACGTTCGGCTCACATTGGTAGTGCAAAACTTTGTCTTTATCTGCCCAGGTGATAAGAAAATACAGTGAAATGAGGAAGAGATATGACGAGGTAGAAGGATGTATGCAGAAGAGACAAAGAGCACCGATGACCCCTGTCCGTCACATGACCACTGCTGCAGCAGATGGACTACTGCCACTTCTTTTTTGGGTCTCACAGATGCTTCGACAGAAAGACAACCAACAAAACTAATACGCTGTTCTTTACAGACGTTCAGAACCTGAAAGTTATCTATCTATATTTCAACTAAGGCAGAAGGCAGCTTCGTGATGTCCCTTGAATGCCTCCCAAAGACCCACTGGACACAAAGGGGCAGCTGCTATGCCCCTCATATTTGCGACAAGCTTCATCATATAGACAAGCGTGCATACAAGCACTATATAGCTCGTCCAGGAGCCTATAGGAGCCCTGCGGATATCATTAGGGGCTGTCCACAACAGCCTGGCCCCGCTACTTCACTTCAAGTCCTCTCTGATCCACTTCACAAAGGGACTGGCTTCTATCCCGAACCCACCAGGCATGATGATGGATATACGTTGTGCCGGATTGCGCCAGTCCATCCTACGGGGCACAAAGGGCCCTTTCCTGCTGAAGGGTTCCGAATTTGACGCGGATGCCGAAGGCCCGAAAGCCCTACGGTGCTGGGACGATCAGAGGATAGCCAATATACCAATGACTCGGGAAGCCGTTTGAACAATTACTGCAAGCTGCTTCCTAATTGGAGGCTATTACAACCGGCCAATCTGGAATACTTGCGATTTACCACACGAATCCATTTTCTGATGCAGTTTAACGGTGGTACCTGCTATAATCCTGAAGCACTATAGGACCTGCATGCCTTGCTTGAGAGCAGTGCTCGTTACGAGGCCGTACATACGAATGGCATGCCAATATTGCTTCGGCCATGGCCTAGGCTTAGTCCAGACCTGAAAGGGGCATATGGACCAAGCCTTTCCCTTGATGTGGATTTAGCTGAGACTACTAACTAAAATAGACCCAAGCTTCCAGGCATCTCTAGAAGAAAGGGAAAGCTTGTGCTCCGTTTCTCCGTTCCTCAATTGTATGGCCATTGCCTTCGTCATGCCGCTCTCAATGTGGGCGCTAATGCACTTCCCGTTTGGCTCTGTAACGCCGGAACCTGCAACCTGGACACCTGCATTCCTCCTGCCTCTGGATTTGCCGAGATGAGCTTGACTTAATTGCCCAAACCCCCTGATGATGCCGACTGGCGACGCCGGGTGGGGAATGGCATGCCCCATACCGACGTAATGGGAATTGATCAGCATTTTAACATCGCTATGCACGCTGCTAATATGAACTTCATTTGGAAAATTTGAAGAATTCTGGGACTAGTCTCCGCCGTTCTCCCGTATTCTTGACGCCAGAAAGGGGCACTGAGATTGGTGGTGTTTCAATCCTCCGTGTGCGCTCCCTATGGTGCGAAGATCCCGAACGGTGTGACTCGGCCTCGTTGACTCCTTTGGGTGGAGTGGAGCTCATCTCATCGGCACAATCGGATCGCGGACCATGGGCCCCTGGTTCGTACGTGCAACAGAGTTGATCATAGGTTAAGCCATGTGTTTCTGTCATACAAGGGAAGGAGATGAAAATCTCCCGCGAGAAAATCCGAAGATCAGCAACTGTAAGAATATCAACTGCCGAAAAGGGGCTTGATGTCTCTGAGACGGGTGGCTGAAGCATAATCAGATTTGCTGTGTGCGATGTTATCGGGACGCTCCGCGATAGGCTCGGGCCCACGTTTAAAGCCAAGTTCGATTAAGAAATGCCGCGTCAACCCATTTATTTAGTGCCCTTCTAGCCTTGATGGGCCGTTAGAGATTGATGGCTCCCGGGTGCCACCCATTCACAACCCATGCAGGCAGCATTAGACCAATCCTTCGCGTTATGAGAGCTTCTCTCACGGCGTGTTACCGAAGTTTTGCCTGACCCAGCTAGGTCTAATGCATGCATCGATATTGGATAAGTCGCAATGAAGGAGGCTTGCTTCCAGGGTATATAAGACCCAGCTCATCGCCGGATTTGCAGGTTCCTTTGTTCTTCAGCGCAAGCCAATCATTCATTCCTTCTCTCGTTTTCACTCGTCTTTGTTCTGTAGATCAGAACTGCCCAGTCTTTCATTTACTCTGTTGATCAGATAACTATCCAACTCGCAACCATGCCTTCTGCCAAGCCTTTGTTCTGCCTCGCGACCCTGGCCGGTGCCGCTCTGGCTGCTCCTGCGCCTTCCCGCGCCACCGACTTCAACAAGCGGTCCACCTGCACCTTCACTGATGCTGCCACCGCCTCCGAGAGCAAGACCTCCTGCTCCGACATCGTCCTCAAGGACATCACCGTCCCTGCCGGTGAGACCCTTAACCTGAAGGACCTCAACGATGGCACCACCGTAAGCCTCTCCCGGCCTTAGCGTCAGCCCCGTTCTAACAGCGACTCCAGGTCACCTTTGAGGGAACCACCACCTGGGAGTACGAGGAGTGGGACGGACCCCTCCTCCGTATCTCCGGTAAGGACATCACCGTTACCCAGTCATCCGACGCCGTCCTCAACGGCAACGGTGCTAAGTGGTGGGACGGTGAGGGAACCAACGGCGGCAAGACCAAGCCCAAGTTCTTCTACGCCCACGACCTCGATGACTCCAAGATCTCCGGTCTCTACATCAAGAACACCCCTGTCCAGGCCATCTCCGTTGAGTCGGACAACCTCGTGATCGAGGACGTCACCATCGACAACAGCGACGGTGACTCCGAGGGCGGTCACAACACCGACGGTTTCGACATCAGCGAGAGTACCTACATCACCATCACCGGCGCCACCGTCAAGAACCAGGACGACTGCGTCGCCATCAACTCCGGCGAGAACATCTACTTCTCCGGCGGTACCTGCTCCGGCGGTCACGGTCTGTCCATCGGCTCCGTCGGTGGCCGCGACGACAACACCGTCAAGAACGTCACCTTCATCGACTCGACTGTCTCTGACTCCGAGAACGGTGTTCGCATCAAGACTGTCTACGACGCTACTGGTACCGTCGAGGACATCACCTACTCCAACATCAAGCTCTCCGGCATCTCCGACTACGGTATCGTCATCGAGCAGGACTACGAGAACGGTGACCCTACCGGTACCCCCTCCAACGGTGTTACTATCTCCGATGTTACCCTCGAGGACATCACTGGCTCGGTTGACTCTGACGCTGTTGAGATCTACATCCTTTGCGGTGACGGCAGCTGCTCTGACTGGACCATGTCCGGCATTGACATCACCGGCGGTGAGACCAGCAGCAAGTGCGAGAACGTTCCCTCTGGCGCTTCTTGCGACGAGTAAGGTGTTTGCCTTCCTTTCTCTCAGCTGCAAGAAAGTTTGAAGAGCTGTGGTGCGCTCTGTACATTTCAGATAATTGTCTAATCTTCTTTCATTCGGCCGTCACACAGTCGTGCATTTATAATATAAAAACCATTGGCTGTACAATCTGGAGCAAAAGCATAGCACACATTGTAGAAGTAGTAGTAGATCTTACTTCATTCCCAAAGGCAATCTCTAATAACCTGAACCAAGCAAACTAATACTATCCAAATGTGTATAGAGCAGCTTTGAAGGAAGATATAGCTTTCCGAGCCATACCAGCTTCAACACCATATTCCGATCCAAATCTATAGCTGCAGCCCTGCATATTACGAATATACACCATGCAACTCTCACCTCTTCTGTCCTTGATACTAATCACCAGCAACGATATAATCCCCTCCCACTTTAAAACGAGTACATACGACCACAGGGTGTGGAAAACAGGGCTTCCCGTCCGCTCAGCCGTACTTAAGCCACACGCCGGGAGGTTAGTAGTTGGGTGGGTGACCACCAGCGAATCCCTTCTGTTGTATGTTTTTGATCTTTATTTATTTATTTATTTTTTCATTATTATGTTTTTCTTTTCTCTGAAAGAAGAGGTATCCGGTAGTTGTCCTCTAGGGTAGGTAGCTCTTGGTGCTAGCAGTACAGTGACTATACTCTCGATCACAACATGCATATAATTCCACCCAACTGAGCGACAACACTACGAAAGGAGTAAGGTAAACACTAACTAGCCCATGCACTAGGAAGGGACGTAATGAAATGATAACGATAACGACATCCACCTCCTGATAGTCACTGAAACCGCACTGTAGAATCCCTATGCCGTACCCGCTATGGCTGTTTGTCATGATGATCAGGGTGCATTGGCCCTTTAGAGAAATAGCGACGCCCAGTCGTAATGGAGCGCGGGGGTGTAGACTCCGTCGTCCCCATGCCACTTTCGCTCTGTGTCTTCGTGGCCTTTTCCGAGTATGTTTGCAGCTGGTGGATGATAACAGGTATGGCTTTCTTGATAACAAGCGGAGCATAGGTCCTAACTAGCCTTGCGGTATCTTGGATTCTCTTTTTGACAAAGGTGAAAAAGCCAGATTCCATGAGCAATGTCGGTTTACTTTGAATAAACTCCTCCAACATTGCCTCGGCCAGTAGCGATTGATTTGCCAGTGCAATAGAGTGTTCGCGACTCTCCTCTTCAGCAGAGTGCTCCATGGCAGACTCCTTAGTCACGCTGCTGACAAGGGATAAAGCTATGGGAGCCAGTGTTAGGTAAGATTATCTGGTCGTTGTTCGGATAAAGACCTCTAGGTGGGCTTACTAGATCTCTTGATACTACAGTATTGAATTATCGTCTGGAATTACCTTCAGAGCGACCAGGATCTTCGCTATGAGGACCCGACCATAATGTATCATTTAGTGAGGAGACCTTTGGGCCATGTATAGATAGCATTACGTATAAGAAAGCACTGTACAACAAGGTAGTATTCACCTGAGCTGCCATCTACACCCTCGTGTTCCAATGCCATTTCTAGAATGAATATCAAAACCACAATGGATGTTGGCGGACTAGGTCAGCGAGCAGGTTAAACTACGTAGCTATCGCGGGTGCGCACTGGTGGATTACGTCATTTAATGTTTGAGGATGAGGAGGTACTTGGCTCTAGGCTATTGGATGCAAGGGATGTTGACAGACTGGCCAAAACCTAACGAACTTGGGGGTGGCCAGCAACTTCAACCCGAACATCGAGTGGCCGCCCTTATCAATTGGCGTTTTGGATCAATAGATGTATAGTTGAATATATAAAATCCCTTAACTAAATATCTTTTATTCTTTATCCACGGTAGTATTATTACTATTAAATAGATTTCTAGATAAAAAGCACCCGTCAATGCCACCAAGCATTGACAGAATGTATGAACGGCTATGGATTAATAGAATTTCGTATTCGGCGGGAGTCCCTCAGCCTGGTCCTCTCTCTGTATTCATTTAGTTAGCATACTAAATGATTTCAATGTAGACAGCTACGGAACCCATACCAGAGCTTCCATAAATCCCTTCACAAGCGCAATTTCGTGATCACAGCGGGCCAGCTGTTCAGGTCCAAAGTCGGTGAAGGTCGTTGCAACATCAAAGTCAATCCAGACCAGCCTATCAGGGTTTCCACGGACAAGGAGAAGATTTTTGGGGTAGATGTCTTGATGGTGAACACCCGCCCTGTGTATCTCGTGCATTCCCTCAATGGCCTGGGGATAGAGCGCGTCCGAGTAGTTCACGCAGTTCAAACTCTCTGCATTTGGGAGATATTCTAGCAAGATTGCTCTCGGCATTAGCTTGTCTCCGGTGAAGGATTGTAAAGCGGGATGGAATGCTGCAGGATCCATTTGATCGATGTAGCCGTAGAATTTTGGCACGAAACCGCGTGCACAGACATCATAAGTGAGAAGCTTCTCGTATGCATTTAACTCGCAGCGAAATCGGTTCAAATCACGACCTTTTTCGGTATATCCAGGGTCGCCGTTGTCATGGAAAACCTTCAATGCGTACTTTTGTCCATCCAGGTCTGCCTCGAATATTGCAGACGAATCAGAGCACGTAATCTGCCTGATAATATTGATATTGGAGGGGTCTATGTCTTTCAAGAGAGCGCTGCTTAGGTGTATTGTTGTGCTGTGGGAAGTCATCTTTATATCAAAAATGTCGGAGCAGGTCAGAACAAGCAGATGACGAGGTCTTGGTGATAATAGCGGGATTATGTAAGTTGAGTACATGTGGTTTTGTTAATTTGCTATAGCTGTCTCTTTGGCGATCCCCTGGACAGCTGGAGGAATGGGAATATGGTATCTAGCGATGCTTGCAGCCGAAGGAACCAACTGGACCCTGTAACCCCGCTGCCTGTTTCCCATCTATTAGAAACTATAGTCAACATCAATTTGGAGTTTTCACCTAACTTCCCTTAGTGTCTGCTCTTTGGTGTTCTTCGTGAAACAAACGGTTATATATATGAAGAAGCTACCGCAGAATACACGTGAGAATACAATTGAACTGGCTAGCCAATCCTCCACCACCCTTTCTCCTCAAACAGTCTCCCGACTCTCTTCCAATCTACTACTCCTATCCATAGTCACAACCTGCCCATCATCCACAAAGACTTCATCCCACCCAGCGGTAACTTTGGCCGTCGGTTGCAGAATCTCAGAGTCACCGCTCAACAGCTCCTGGAATTCAGGGTCGTTGACGATAGCCGCCATGGTCTCTGCGTTAGGGACGTACACGGAGATGATCACATCATGATCATCCAGCGTCCAGCCTCTACCAAGCGCCCAAGGGATCTTCTCCGTAATGAGCTTCTTACTACTGGTGGGGGTATGATACTGTTATTCACCCAGGTCAGCTAATAGATCCAAGTGGACTGACGGGCTGCAAAGGGGTCGGGGACTGACTTGTATCACTTTGAGAACACCATGACGAACTTGAATGGGTGCGGCGCGCGGACCAAAGACTTGCGTCATGTATGTCTGTAGTTGGGCTTCTGTGATACCTTCTTTCTTGTAGCGGAATGCCATGAGTCGGAGGGCCTTCTGGCGTTCTTTCTCCATGGTCAATGTGTTTTTTCGTAGGTGATTTGATCTAGAGATTAAGGGTAGTATGTTACCCTTGGAGAGTCTCAAATTGAAAGATAAGGGTAACTGAGAAGCAGATGTAAGCTTATAGTCCGAGGTTTGGGGGCCCTGAGACATGTTATTCCCCGGGTGGGGGCGAGCAAAGGCATTGCGCTTACATGAGAGAGATGAACGGTTTGAATGAACAGAATAATAGATTAACACCTGAGACATTTAGCCGACGTCAATGATACTAACTTGAAGCGAAGTGATACTTACGTTGTTGCTATGGTCGAGACTTAGCGATACTAAGAGGCGGAAGCCGCGCTAGCAACTCGTCACGAACTAGTCATACATGCTAGTTTGGGGGCTGAAAGAAAAAAAAAAAAAAAAAAAAAAAAAAAAAAGAGATTGACAAGTTCCCGTATGACAAGGCTTTGGACAAGAGAGGCTAATGCATGCCCTGAAATCAGAGTTGTCAATCTGATACTACATGTTCCGTCGATACGACACTACGGTTTGTTGTGTTCGAAGATATACCAGGGTCATGTCCCCCACCGGACAGTCTTCAACCCTACCTCTTGCACTCTTAGCAAGTCTTGAATACCCTTTCAATCTAATTCTACTGCACAATGGAATCATCACTTTCCCACAGAGGGAATAAAAACTTGACGGATGTTCTTTCACGGTTTCCGCCCTACCTTCTTAACCCCAACTTCACATGGCACGGAATCGACTTGACCTTAGCAGAAAACCATGTAATCAGAAGCGAGATCCTCTCTATCTTAAAGACGTGCATTGGCGAAGGGCTAAGCTCGCAGGTGAGGTCTATACCGCATACTATCTAGATAGTAGCTCCAGATGCTGCAGCTAAATGCTAACCGATGGTTTGTTTCTACTAGCATCTCGACTGGCCTAAAGGCCTCTGCGGCTACCCACCATTACTGGATGCGCTTGCGACGACATTCAACCGCTACTTCAAGCCATACACGCCGATTGAGTCTGACCACCTGGCAGTCACACCCGGCACATCCGCTGGACTTGACATCCTACTCTACCATTTATGCGATCCGGAGGATGGCGTCCTAGTACCATGTCCGTACTGGAGTATGTGTCCCCCCCCCTGCACCCTCTCACTTTCCCTCCATTCTAATCAACAAAACAAACCAGGTGGCTACGACACCTTCTTCACCGTTCGATCTCAAGTCCAAATCATTGGTGTCGAGGTTCCCGAACTAGAGGATTCATTCCACGACATCGCACTGATCTCTGCTCTCGAAAAGCACTACAAGGAAGCTAAATATCCCATCAAAGCCGTCGTTCTCTCCCATCCACACAATCCCCTTGGCCGCCCATACCCTCCTCACGTCCTAAAGCAATGCATGGCATTCTGCCGAGACCACAACCTCCACCTTATCTCCGACGAGGTATTCGCCCTCAGCACATTCACCAGCCCCGATCTCCAGAACTGGGCTGCATTCAAATCCGTCCTAAGTATCGACCCCTCAACCGTCGGCCTAGACCCCTCTCGCGTGCATGTTCTCTGGAGTATGAGCAAGGATCTAGCGGCTAGTGGGATTCGTCTGGTAAGATCTCTCCTCCAATTTGGCATAGCGCCAGGTTTGTGCTTTTGTTAACGAAGTCGATCCATCAGGGATGCATAGCAACCCGAAACAGTCCCCTCCGACGCACCGTTGGCCTAGCCGGGGCTATCCAAGTGTCAGCCCTCTCCACAATCGGAGCAATAGCCATTCTGACATCTTCCCGTCTCCCGGAAATACTAAAGCAGAACTGCATGGGTCTCACGGTGGCATATTGTACCGTGACAGAAGCGTTTCGTCGTATTGGTATTACATACGTTCCGGGGACCGCGGCAGTGTTCCTGATGGCTCGATTGGCTCCGCGAGCTCAGACGCGGGAGGATGAGCTAGCTGCATGTGGGAAATATCGTCAGGCTGGGGTTGCGGTCGTGCCGGGGTCAGCGTACCATATGCCGGGGAATTATCAGCATGGGTGGATGAGAGTCACGTTTGGGGTGGCGCCGGAGACGTTGGCTGAGGGGATTAGAAGGATTGAAGGGGTGTTTGGGGAGTTGAGGTAAATTTCTTACATCACTGGTTAGTTTGGTGGTCTAGTAGTATGAGGAGGCTGTACTGGTAGAGGAGGGGGTGGTGGTAAAGGGAACTAGAAAGTAAGCACTAGGAGAGTAAGCACTAGGGAGGGCTAAGTGACGGGAACGGTTAAGTGGGGAATACTGCACAGGAGTAAGGTCGCATCGTACAATCATGTTGATTTTGATTCGCTTTGAATATCTATCTAACTAGTATCTACATTATCTATTCAGCCCTCATGAATCAAACAGCGGCCCCATTGCAGGGATCCCTCGGCCCCGAAGCTGAGAAACCAGGGTGTGGGTTAAGCTCCGATTGCTAATGACACAGACCATTTCAGCCTCGAAGCCGCGATAGGCCAAGCAATGGTCAACGACCCACGGGAGCAGGTCCACACGCCGACCTTGCTTGGAAGTGTCGAGTATCATGGCCTCCGGGTCCAACCGATGCACTAAGTCCAACACCCGCGATCCGTACGTCTGCTGCGGCGACCTAGTCTGCCACACCAGACGAATGGCAGGGCGACGACACGCTTCTTCTCCTTCCGCTAGAAATGCGAGACAGGGGCCGATCCCAGAGCCTGTTGCTACGATCACCACGCGCCTGAAGAGTCGCATCACTCGGGTGAACCCATACGGCTGTTCACCCCGGGTCCATAATTCTGTCGGGGGCTCGTTGATTCGTGCCCCCGTCCAGTCTCCTGCCCTGGATACCAGGACCGAACAGCCCTTGGCTGCGCTTGTCTTTGCGATTGCCGCCTCCTCGTCGTCAATATCTATGCAGCGTGGCTCATCCGGGAACGTGGCGAAGCTATGCCAGTCCTGCAGTGGGTGCGTAGCGAGTGAGATGGTTTTCCCCAACCGTGAGTCAGCTCCAGATAGGTGGAGACGGATGGCATGAGTGGAGAGCCGCTCTGCCTGTACGCAGATGCGTCGCAGGCGTGTCCAGGGCTGAATGATGGCGATGAGGGTGGTCAGGACGCACCAGAAGGCGGGGAGGCGGACGAGGCTGGCCGCAGGGGATAGAGAAATAGTAGCAGTACTAGGATTGAGAGAGGAATCTCCCACCACGAGCACCAGAAGACTCAGGAACAGCGCGACGACTAGCCAGGTGAGGAAGCGATGGGCAAACTCGAAGGAATTATGATAGCGGAGTCGGACCGTGGGATAGGCCACTGCTATGATCACAGCTAGCAGGAAGAGGACGAGATAGGCAAGGATCAACGTAATCAGAGTATGATTGGAGAGATGATGGGGGTGGCCCCGGACCCTGATAGCCAGCTGGGTCAGCATGACAACTGCCCCGACATACCATATCAGCGCAGCCACGCCGCAACCGCTATGCACGCCGCCGTAATGGTAAATGTTGGCTGCCACACGACGAAGACATAGGGGTAGCCGGAGTGATAAGGAGCACATTATTTGAAACATCCCATTTACCACGATCGCCTGACGAGCCAAGGCGCTTGCTAAGAAATTCGCTGCCGCAGCATCCACAAACCGTATCGCAGACCAATCTTTGAGAATGAAGTAGATCAAAGCAGCCACATTTCCGAGGAACACAAGGGAAAATATGTATCGGTAGGTACTGGGCCAGAGGAAGAGACGGGTGTCAATGCTCTGACGCGAAGGTGTTCTTGCTTTTTCCACCGGGAGCACAGAGACGTTGATGGGAAGGCTGATGTTCGTTGGCCCCTTTTCTGATTGATCGGGTAGCTGAATCGCCGGAGGAGGAGGTGGTGGTACTGGAGTGGGTACATGCCCTAGGTCCATGCTGTCGTTCCTTATCATGTATGTAACGTTTCTCATGAGGAGGGTATAGATATCAATTAGTTACGAGAGATGAATTGCTCAGCTATATACTCCACTACGAGGCTGGTATGTCCTTCCTTGACTGCTCTATTGCATCCTTCTTGTAAGACTACTGTTTTTGGAGTGCGAGGGAAGAAGATGGAAGTGTTTGGTATGGGGGCCAAACATGTCCCAGGACGAAGTTGTAGAAAACGCAGAATTAGTGCGTTTTTGGTTTCGTTTTAATACTGACTGATATTACGGAGTAGCGATATATCTACGCGATCGATCTCACGGTGTCCGTTTGGCACCTGCTAGGTAGGAGACCCACTTGGCTGTCAGACCGAAGCCTACCAGACTAGCCTGAGTAGTCCTAGAGGAGTCCGTTTGAGGTCCCCGCTTACTGCCCTTCGCTTGCAAATTTCCGACCTTGCCGGATTCAAGGCTCGTCTGAACATGATGGGGGAGTGAACTAACGGGTTTACAAGCGTGTGCCAAAGGGGAGGTTGTATTGGTTAGACTAGCTACACACAAATACACACAGTCATGCATGCACACACACGAAGAAAATTCACAGAATCTTGTCGAGAATTTCGCGTAGTTCGTTTGCCACGAGCTCCGGGTTATCTCGCTGGACAAAGTGGCCGGCCCCTGGTGCCTGCAGAGGACCCTTACTACGAGCAGGCTCAGTAAGCTTAGCCAATCCTTCGTTGAACCGATGCCAGTAAGGATTCATATAGACTTCCGTCAGTCTTGGCGGGGCGCCACCCATTTGTTCAAATTCGGTTTTGAACGCCTCAAACTCATGGCCAACAACCGTTACCCAGGGACCGCCGTCCGGCCCCTGCAACTTGGGTCCATCGCTATCCGGCAATAGTTGCGCCAGGTTCTTTCGGCTGAGCCCCTCGCGACTGCCATTACTGGGGTGAAATACCCGCTGCATATACGCGCGAGCAGCACGGATCGCATCCACCGTCACCCCATCTGGCAGACTGGTTGGGTCGAAGCCAGGTGCATCAGGGTCCGGGTAGATAGAGACAAAGTCGGAGTTTGCCAGCACACTGTCCAGGAAAAGAAGGCCTGCCACTGTGCCGGGATATTCTTGAGCATAGAGCCGCACCAGCGCGCCACCAATGGAGTTGGAGACCAGCACGAGGGACAGACTGCCCGGGTTCAGATTGGAGATTCCCATTTTCTCGGACGCGATTTGAGTAATTAGTTGATGAAGGTCCCGGACCACAGTCAATGTATCATGGCCGTGCATGGGATCCTCGGTGTTGTCGTCGGGATCCCGGTCTGTGGTCTGCCCCTGACCGTAGCGGTCATAGGTCAGCATGGCGGGCAGTCCAGCAGCGGGAGGCTGTGTCTGAAGGCGTGTAATGGCCCCCTCCCAGGAGGTCTGTGGCAGGCCAAGGCCATTGACAAAGACAATCAGCACAGGCTTGGCAGTGCCCACAGCTGGATGGAAGCTATAGCATAGTTTGGCGGAAGGCTTGGTAGACAGTGACAAGAATTGGTAGGGAGACATTTTGGAGAGAATCAAGATGGCTAGAGGTACTCGGTAGTGGAGATGAAAAAGAGAAGGATAGTAGAGCAGTGGTGGTCACTCTGCGTGGGCTTGCAGTGGGATATATAACTTGGGAACACCCCTCAAGAGAGAGTGAACGCAGAAGCAAGAAGGCAGAAACGTAAAACCGTAAGAAACTGTAAGCGTACCCTGATTTACCACGCTAGTACCAGCCCATACGGTGACGCCCGATGCTTATGTTGCACGAAGCCTCAGCCTCGTCTGTCTGTGCGCACGACAGGGTCCAGAGTCTCCACTCAGTCATCCTGCTTGCTATATTCTGTGCAACTAGCAGTAGCGCGTGGGGGCTGAAGGCCATGAGATGGCCCGGTTGGACTCCTCCATAGGAGTTGTTCAGCTCCTATGTGGTGGTATGCAGGTTGGACCTGGATGTCAAGGATCAAAAGGCTTGCCTAATCCACCCTGCCTTGAGCCTCGTATCTCGTTCCCTTCACGCAGCTTAGTCCTAGAATTTTACCTCAATATTGTTCATCATGAATCCACCTGATGTGAACGTTGGCTACAAGCTGCTGGTGGGTACTACTGTTACCTTTGTAAGTGCTTGTGTGGTGGTGATGCTCCGTGCAGTGGCACGGATTCTCTATGCAAGTTTGGGTTGGGACGATTACATGATGCTGTTTGCGGTGGTGAGTTACCAAGCTTCTCTACAACACCTGTTCACAACTCATTATTGATATAAACATAGGCTCAAGCATTAGTAGCCACGATATGTGATTTTCTTGCTGTTAATAATGGACTTGGACGTCACATGGTCTATTTGACCAAGAAGCAGATACCCCCCCTGCTGTTCTGGGACTATCTCGGGCAGGTGTTCTGTGTAAACGCCTTGACTTTTGCGAAAATCTCCATCTGTCTCTCTTATCTCCGTATCTTGAGAGGCTCACATCAACGCACTCTGCGCGTCCTTTGTACAGTCACGGCAGTGTTGGTATTTGCTGTAAACACAGTGGTTATTATATCCTTCTATGCTCGCTGCAACCCCACACATAAGTCTTGGGACCCATACCTGCCAGGCACCTGCTGGCCGGCAGCCACCGAGACGGGCTTGGTGATCTTGCAAGGATGTGAGTGAGCTCTTCAGCCTGCTATGAATCAACAATTGACATTAGGCAGCATTTTCGGCGCTGACGGACTACTTCCTGTCGGCCGTTCCCATATTCCTCTTTAAGGACCTACAGATCAGTCGGAAGAACAAAATCGTTCTTTGTGGACTCATGAGCTTGGGTGCTGTGTATGTCTTCCGTGATTGATTCCTCAATGCTTGGAATCCTCGTCGCTAACATCATTTTGGTTCTACAGCACAGGTATCTTTGCGACAATCCGTACGGTCGAGTCCGGGGAAAGTTTGACAGGATCATCAGCTTCGGACTCAACATACACTACCATCATGGGTCTGACCTGGGCTGGAATGGAGCGCAACATCGCCATGATGATTGCCAGCGTCCCTCCGTTGCGCCCACTGGCAGAGCCTGTCGTCCGGCTTACCAGTCAGACCTTCTCTAACCTGATGTCGTCCCGTCGCACCCAGAACAGCTATGAACTGGGCTCACAAGCAACAATACAGAGCCCCGGTCTCGGGGCCTCCTCGAAGCATTATGCCTCTGCTAAGCAGGCGGCATTTGCCAAGGATGACCGCAGTACGAGCCTCGAACATATCCTCCCACCTCAGGCAAACGCTACCTCGGTTGTTTAATGGCTCATTTCTGACTGAAAGTGGATTATAAAAATTCTAGCATAAGCACTATCTAATTCAATCGTAATCTGGAGTCGCTTTAGGCCGATTCGCCCCGTCAGATATGGGGAAAATCGCGCATACCATATGTGTAATCAGTCTGATAGCTATCATTACGTAGTACTCACCAGAAATAAAGCGTAACATACAGTCAGATTGGCCCCACAAGTGGAACAATACATGCTGTGTTAATTATCTGTATTACCCGATGCAAGGCCTGGCAGCCTTGAGTAAGACATCACTGCCACGGGCGAGTTTAATCACAATCATGCATGCATGCAACCCTCGGCTAGAGCTGTCAGCGCAGGACAAAGCATGGCTCAACCCAAAGTTGGCCCCCACCCGGAGGGACTATCAAATTAGGGTAATACTAGTTCTGCTACTGGCTTCCTACCACTGTATCTTGTCGGAGAAGCTAATCGTATTCAGCCTGCCCCCCTCTTCCCATCACGAAAGACGAGCTTTTTCATCCTGCCTCGAGTAATCATCTCGTCTCATCAGAATCCAGCCTCTGCCGATCTAACCGGTGCAGCTCTGGGCATAGACGGGGTTGACACCGAGTCAGCCGGACTGGGAATAGTATTCTCGCAGAGAGAAATGATATAAATACGTCCCCATATCTTCTTATACTTCTCTCATTCAATGTAATAGTACAAAAGACAATCCCTTTCTTTCCTTCAATTATCCAATCCGTTTCATTCTCAGTCCCAATGGATGCCCTTCCTCCTGCTCTTCAGGCTCCAGTTGACTGTGGTCGACGCCTGCTGCCTGCTGTGCTAGATGAAGTTGCCATCAGTGATCCCGAGCGAGTCTTTGTCTCCGTCCCACGCAATCCAGAGAACGTGTCGGCTGGCTTCCAAGATATCACTTATGCCACCTTTGCCCAGGCCGTCAATAAGTGTGCTTGGTGGCTACGGGACCGGGTGGGCATGCCCACCGATCCTCAAACCATTCTCTACATTGGTCCTCTGGACATCAGATACATTCTCATCATCATAGCCGCCGCTAAGGCTGGTCACACGGTAAGCACATACTAATCCCCCCATGGTACGGCTCACAACTCATTCCCAATCCCAGGCTTTCTTCAGTTCTCACCGTAATAGCCTGGATGCCCATCTGTCTCTGGTAGAACGCAGTGGCTGCTCGGTTGCTCTGCGGCCAAAGCAGGCGCCAGCCGTCCTCGATCAAATCCTGAAGGCTCGATCCATGAAGGAGGTCGATATGCCTGAGCTGGATTTCTGGTTCACAGACCTGGACCAGGTCAATCCTCTTCCCTTTACCCTAACCTGGGAAGAGGCTCGCTACAAAACCTTCTGCATCCTACACACCTCCGGCTCGACCGGTATCCCCAAGCCCGTCTTCGTTCCCTATGGTAGTCTGGCCAGCAATGACGCCCATCAACTCATTCCCTTTCTCGGAGGGAAGCCCACCCTGATGAACTACCTGAAGGGGAAACGATTCTTCCTAGCCCTGCCAGTCTTCCACGCCGCTTGCTTGACATTCGTCCTAGCATTCAACATATTCTCCGGCGTGACTGTCGTCCTCCCGCCCCCAGGACCACTCACCTCCGACGTCGCCAACGAAGTCATCACTTCCGCCAACCTCGACGGTGCCCTACTGGCACCATCACTGATCGTAGACCTATACAACAACCCCACCCATCGTCAAAACCTCATCAAGCACCTCAGCCTCCTCTCCTATGTCGGTGGCTCCCTCCCCAAAGCCGTCGGAGACGCCCTCTCAACCCAAGTCAAATGCATGTCCATCATGGGCACATGCGAGACCCTCCTCTTCCCCCTCGAGATGAACGACGACCCAGCAGACTGGGAATACGTAACCGTGAGCCCCTTCTTCGGACACGAATTCCAATCCAACCGTGACGGTCTATCGGAGCTCGTCCTCCGCCGCCAACCCAACCACGAGCTCTTCCAGGGCGCTTTCTACACCTTCCCAGACAAGCAAGAGTACCGCTTCGGCGATCTATTCGCACAACACCCCAACCGCCCAGAGTCCTGGGTATTCCGCGCGCGAACAGACGATATCATCGCTTTCACCACCGCCGAAAAGCTCAACCCCATCACAATGGAGAGTGTGATTGTAGCCAGCCCCAAGGTGAAATCCGCCGTTATCGGCGGTCAAGGCCAATTCCAGGCCTCGGTGTTGATCGAGCCATATGACTATCCGACCTCACCCGAGGAAGAGGAACAATACATCCAAGAGATATGGCCGTATATCACCAAGGCGAATCGCGGATGTCCCGCTCACGGCCGCATCATGAAAGGCTTCGTCATGCTCACTTCCCCGGATAAGCCGCTTCCGCGCGCCGGTAAGGATACCGTTCAGCGTCATGCGGTGTTTAAGCTCTACGCTGCGGAATGGCAGGCTTTGTATGATAGGATGCGTCCGCATGTCGCTGCCCCTGTCCCTACTTCTTCTTCTTCTACTACTTCTTCATCATCTCCCTCGCTCTCACCATCTACCCCTCCCCTCCGTCCCGACTCCCCCACCACCACAAATAAATCCGCATCAGCATCAGCATCAGCCCTAACCACCGAAATCGAAGAAATCCTCCACCAACTCCTGCCCAAAGCCGTCGAAACAGCCGTCGAGAAAGCAATGCAGGGCGTTCTCAGTCGTCTTCTGACAGGTCTCACTACTGGTTCTGCTACTACTGCGCCTGCGCCTGCTCTTTCCCCTCCTACATCCCCCAAAGCAGACTCCGCCAATATCCACATCCCCAAACCCGACCTAAAAACCTTCATCCACACCCACCTCGCAGAAACATTAGATCAGCAACAAGCCTGGACCGACGACTCGGATTTATTCCAGTTTGGGCTCGATTCGCTGAAGGTTATGGAGCTCATTGCGGAGGTGAATAGGTTTCGGAAACAGTGGGATCCGAATGCTGCCCCCGTGGATCAGAAGGTGGTGTATGCGAACCCGTCGGTGAATCGGATGGTTGGGGTTATGGGTGTGTAGATTTATTTCCTTTCTTTTCTTGGGGGATGGGTTGTTGGGTGGGGTGTATCATGATCGTGCTGGGTTTGTAAATTGTTGTGGTATCTCTGTTGGAATTTATCAAGTACTTTGGCTGTGAGATCTGTGTCTCATTCACTTAATTTCATTTCATTTTATGCCATGCCCCTTCGGGTTTGATAGGTCTATAGTCTACTATGAGGTTCTGGAATATTGATACTTTTTTACACAAGATTTTCTTGTTATATAGTATGTATGCTGTTCAGGATGTGCATTGGGGATATCTAGGAAGTAGTAGGTAAATAAGTGGTTGTTGCGGATGAACTCATCAAGGAGTGTGTCATAACGGTGCTATAACCTATACCCAGAAGGATCATGGTAAGAAAGAAGAAGAGGATGATGATGTTGTGGAAGACAACCATACAATATTAGTCTAAAGAAATAAAATGAATGGTCTTTATGCCACAAGGTTCATGGTAGAGGACGAGAGAGTCAATACTTCAGTCTGTAGGTTTGTGGGATTTGGGGTTACTCTATTTACGAGGGAGGAGTACTAGGTTTCGAAGGATGAGTATTGAGATTGGCTAATTTAAAGATTGATTATACTCAAGACCTGGTCATTGTGAGTCCGTTGCGTCCCATGAATATACTGTCTACAATTATACAAGTATCTTCGTAAGCCGTTAAATTAGCCTATACAACAAAGAAAAGCAGACGCAAACCCGGTCACTAGACACATAGATAAGAGTATATGAAGAAAAGAAACAGACACCAAAGGTTATATCTACTATATGAAACTTTCAGCTGTACGGAGAAGGGAAAGATAAGCCAAGTCCTGTCGTGATGAATGTACCCGGGACGACAGATACAGGATATAAACAACTCCAAGCAGATCGGAAGCAAAAGAAAAGATTGTTCAGGAAACTATAGACAAATCAAGCGGGACTCGCTTAGAACTGGTCAATGCAACCCCAGTACTGCTCAACGTCGTACTCGCCGGGGTCCTTCCACAGGTCGTTGGCGTAGGAGAAGAAGACGGACAGCTCTCCAACGGACTCGCGGATGCCCTTGATGGCGGTGGCCTGCTCGGAGGTACCGGGGACGGCAGCACCGTTGGCGTTACCCTTGCTCGGCCAGCCAGTCTCGAGGTTGATGACATCCATGTCGGTACAGATCTTCTTCAGGAGGGCGACCTCGGTGGAGGCGAAGGTACCGGCCTCGGCGGCGGTGGTCTCGGAGTTGAAGAAGGGGTGGATGTTGGCACCGAGGACGTCAACGACAGAGCACAGGGTGCTGCTGCCGTACTCCTGCCAGATGTCGACAGGCTCAGTGGTGGTGATCTGGCCAGTGTAGCCGGCAGCCTCGAAGCTGGACTTGCAGGAGGAGATGAAGGTGGCGAGCTCGCTGGCGGTGGTGTAACCGTCGGAGATGGCCTCGTTACCGACAACGATGAGGGTAACCATGGACCACTGACCCCACTCGGTGATGGCAGTGACCTGGTCCTGAGCACCCGAGGTGCCGGTGCTGGAGATGTAGACACCGAGGATCAGCTTGAGGCCGTACTTGCTGGCAGCGGAACCAACGTATTCGAGGGTGCTGCAGTCGGTGGAGTAGAGACGGATGTGGGTGAAGCCCTTGTTGGCGATGGTCTCAATGTCCGACTCGACGGTGGCCTTGGACTTGCAACCACCGGAGTTGCTGTAGGGAGTGTAGGTCATTCCCATGCTGTTGCCGCTGGCGCTGACGCCAGAGCTGGCGGCGGCGCTGGAGCTGGCGACAGTGCTGGACTGGACGGAGGAAGTGACAGCGGCAGCGGTGGTGGTGGCAGGAGCCGGGGTGGTCACCACAACAGCGCTAGTGGTAGCGGCAGCAGGGGTGCTGGTGGGCTCGTTGGCGTTGGCGAAGGGGCAAGTGTAGGTGTAGTCAGTAACGGTGGCGGTCACAGTGATAGCGCTGTGGGTGTAGGTGCCGGGGGTGACCGTGGAGACGGTGGGGTAGGTCACGACGGTGTTGGAGGGAACGTAGGTGGTGGTGGGAGCAATGGTGTAGGTACCAGCCTCGGGGCAGACGTAGGTGGTGGTCTGGATGATGCTGGTGACGGTGGAGCCAGAGGGAGAGACGGTGGCGTAGGGGCAGGTGACGGTGGTCGAGGTCTCGACGATAGTGGTAACACCACCGTAGGTCTGGGTACCGCTAGCCAGGGAGGTAGTGGTGCCGGCGACAACGGAGGTGGTGTCGGAGACGGTCACGGTAGCCGCGGGGATAGTGTAGACACCAGTGGTGGAGAAGGTGGTGGTCTCCGGGGTGGGGACAACAGCCTGGCTGGAGGTGGTAGCAGCAGCGACAGGGGTGGAGGAAGAGACCTGGCCGACATTGCCGCCAGCAGCACCGGTGGCAGCGACACCCTCGGGGGTGGAGGAAGTGCCAGAAGCAGCACCGGCAGCACCACCGGTGGCACCACCAGCAGGGGTAGACTCGCTGGGAGAGGCGTTGCCAGCAGCACCGCCAGTAGCACCAGCACCCTCGGCAGTGGTAGCAGCCTCAGCAGGGGCAGTCGACTCGCCGGGGGTAGCGACAACGGTGACGGTGGTGTAGCTGGTGGAGTGGAGGGTGGTGACGACGTCGGAAGTCACAGTGGTAGGGACCGCAGCGGGCACGACTGTGATGGTCAGTATATTGTCCACATCGCAAGTCGCATCAACTGGAATGTTGGAATGCGGGGGATAAGGATTGACTCACGGGTAGGGGTTCCCCAGACGGTGATGACCTCGGTGGTGCAGCCGCAAGACTCCTCGGGCTCAGCCTGAACGGCACGACGCTGGTGGAAAGAGTCGTGACCGTGACGACGCATGTGAGCGCCGCCATCAGCCAGAGCGGTACCGGCGAGGGCAGCCGCAGTGGCAAGGAAAGCACCCTTCATATTGACGGTAAGGGTGAAATCAATGAGGGGGGTTCGGGAACAAATTCAATCGCAATGAATGCCCGCTAAAAGAGTGAAGCGGTGGTCAAGTTTGCAGAGTGAGAAGAGAACGCGGGAGAGGGAGGGAGGGAGGGAGAAAAGGGCACGCCGGCCTCTTTTTGATATCTTTCTCTGGGAGGGAGAAAGAGACAAACGATCTGCAAAACAAACCCGAGAGGGAAAACAAAAAAAGAGGGGAGGGAGAGAGGGAAAAAGAAGAAGAAGAAGAAGGAAAGGGAAAAGAGGCAAGTCTGGCCCAGCAGGGAAAAAGCCCCCAAGCAAACAAAAGGGGGCGGGAGTGGATGGATGGTGGATGGTGGATGGATGCCAGGCACCCACTGGCCGCTATTGGACTGGATGTCCGCACGGCTCGGATAGCCTGGTGGAGTCGAGTCTAGTATTAGTTTGCACGTCGTCCATTCCCTTCTTGGGGGTTTCAGAATATCTTTTGTTCCATTCTCTCAATGCGGTGACGGTGACCGTTAGCTGCAATCCTGACATTCAGGGTCTGGCTACTATTTTTTGGGTCGATGAGTGGAAGAGGAGTCAAACGACGTGTCTACTGTCTACTGAGTTGTTCGACACAGAAACTGACCCCGGACATGGATGATTTGGATTAAGATTTTCCGATGGTGGAAGGAAAACTCTATTGCCATACGGGGGGCCTCCTACGTAGGCACCCCTCTATCACATCTGTCTCCTGATGACAGGGAACAATCCATCGTTGAGACGTGTAGTTATTCTGTATTCCTGTATGTATAGCATAAGGAATTTAGTTAGTGTACAACAATATTCAAAGCAGTCACAACCATCTAGCAAAGTGGCAACCACACAACATCCAAATGAAATGAGATTCAGCAACAGAGGCTGCTTTGTGCAGCTGCAAGGAACACTGGAAAAGTCAGGGATCCACACCGCCTGCAGGAGGTGTTGTGGCTTTGCCAGATCGGGTACAGTGGCTGCCTCCACTGTCTGACTTTGTGGGAGATCATTGGATAAGGGCGAGCACCTTAATTTCCGGGGACCCACCGCAACCCGGATTAGCGACCAAAGGGCAACACAGCCAGAAATGAGCAAAAGTCGGGCGCAATAATGGATGGCCCAGAGACCGACCCATGGTTAGACTCAGCCTCTGCACGGTTAATAGGAGAGCGTTATTTCAGGTACGGGGTCTGAAAGGCTGGATGAAACAAGCAGAGACGCAGAGAGGCAAATGCAGTGCAGCCAGCAGTTAGAAGGCTGAAGGCTGAAGCAGAAAGAGGCGAATTCATAAGAATAGAAACAGCCCCGGGTAACTTTTCTGTCTGTCTGACAGCCACCGTTCGGCTACTATCCGGTTACTATCCGGTTACCATTCCATTGCCATTGCCATTGCTATTGCCCCTGGAAATTACTGTCGGCTTACTGAGATCTATCCATAGTAATAATAATATGATCAGAATATCCAACATTACTGTACTGAGTTTATCACCCGGCGCAAGGTTCACTCCCTCCGCATCATCTCCTAGTCAATAATTGTTCAATAAATCCATGGATTCACTTAGCTAACTATCTATCTTTTACTCGCTGATCCATCTGGAATCACCTTGACTTTCACTTTCACCGTCCTAGCAACCCACGCCGATCAGATCAATTCATTTCATTCAAGTGTTCCTAGTAAGTGTTTCTCTGTGGAGATGTCTCTCTCACTGGCACTCCAGCAATGCCGAGAACCGAAACGAGGCCTGGCCTTCTTGGCTTCACCTCGACACTCACAGCAACTCTCTGTCTTAAATTTCCCACACGAGTCAGGGTCTGTCAGTGGCGGCCAAAATACACCAACCCCTCGTGCTCACGCCTCAAACCCCTGACCACTCTGCCCATCACTTCGACTTACCCCAGATCAGATCAGATCAGATCCAGGATCCCTCGACTACATACGTACTACATAAGTACGATACGACCAGCCAAACTATTGACTATTGAAACAACTCATGAAGAAATAAAATTATAAAAAACACACACCGAACTACTCATAAATACCCATTAACCCTACAAAATAGAAATTGATCATCGTCCGCCCGGTCTCGACCGGTCAGTGCAGAGTCTCCTCCACTGCGGACCGATTTGCCCCTGACCAGGCTTGGCTTGAGCCTATCTGAGAGGGAGAAAGCGAAGTCGTTGAGTACGCTGATTTGGGAAGGCCTGAGCTGAATTTTAGAGAATGTGTGTTGTCTTGGATGAATTTGGGCTAATTTTCAATAGTCGCGTTGGGGTGTGAGACATGATGGTGTAGTAGCTATTTGACCCCTGAATTTGGGGGTGAGACCCTGATACTATTACTACGAGGGTATATAGCTGGGGCGATGACTCGTATTATTGTAGTGCTGACTGACGGGTTCTGGAAGATTCGGATATTGCCGATGCTCGCTTATGATTAGAGGATGATGTATTGAGTGAGTGGTTGTGTAGCTACGAGATACCCTAAGTAGAGGATGGAGGTGTAGTGGGTGTTGAGTTGGGCTGACCGATCCGAGGAATGTGTCAGACACCCACACATAACTAACCTCACATTCTTACTGTAAGTTTGTAAGAGTCAAATTGACATAACTGACAGGACAATTATAATTCCTCAGCAATAATGTCAATGGTATCCCCTACATGAGTCCTCCGTACCCTGTACCTCAACTCATGGTTGAGAAACCACATGGCTGAAGCCGACCGACCGGTCGCAAGTTACACAGTCCCATCCATCACACAGCTCCCTCCTCAGAATAAAACCCAACCAACACAATCCCTTACAAAAGAGAGAACCGCAAGCCTTTATATCCCTAAATCCTTGATATTTACCCCTCAACAACCAATCCTACCTACTTACTGACGTAGTCCCCAAAATCAACCACATCGTACCACCCACAACACTGCACTGCACTGCACTGCGCTGCGCCACATCTCACCACACCCATCGGAGTACATCATACAACACTAAGTATACACCGGGATCATGCCACCCACCCCAACCACTACACAACCCAACCACAACCACATTTGCATCCTTCGGAGAAAGAATTCTACTAATTGAGCATATCTAATTGGTCATCCATATCTATGGTATACCATCGCTCGGATCATCCGAGTCCCATGCACTCTACACGTGATGCCTTCTACCCCGGATACAACCACCCCGACGAGAAGGTGAAAGAGGTGAGGTGATTCGGATGGAGAGATGCCTGACTTGCTGTAGGGGAGTATGGTGCGATGTAATTTTGTTTCTTTGTTGGGTGGTAGTTGGGATCCGATTGATGCCGTATACTGCTGCTGCCACTGCTGTAGGGCTTGGAATGTGGTGATGGGTGTGTAGGTATATATAGTAGATAGAAGCAGACGATACTATTCAATTGAATCACAAACAATACACACACAAGTCTTAATAAGGAATCATCGAAACCAAAAGATCACTACACATCTTCAACTTCCAAACAAGCATATACCTACTCGAAAATGAAATCATCACCTACTACATCCTCTGCCCGCCTCCAAAATGACTTTGGAGCTGATCTATGGGTGAAGAATCGTCCTAAGCATGTGCGTATACTATCCATCCCCATCATATATCCCTCTTACACATACCCATACTAATAATGATTGTATAGCACCCCACAGCAGGCCGCGGCCTCTTCGCCGGCCTCCAAGATACCAAGAACTACAATGTGGAATCAGGCTGGGCGAAGAGAAGTAATGCGGAAAGTCAGGGGTTTCTGGGGGGTTTGTTGAGTCGGTATGCTTCCCTCACCTTTAGGTTATTTTGTTGTTGATTTGTGAGTGTGCTTGCTAATGGATTGTTGTGTTGGGGGTAGGTTTATTGGGGGGTCTTATAAGCCTCCTACTGAGTAGGGTATGGATTGAGGTATGGGTTATGGTTATGATGGATTGGATTGGATTGTGTTTGGTGTTTGGGTTTGAATAGCGTTAGATTGATTATACTATTTCTCCGAATTAAAGTGTGTTATGATATACATGGAATACTATGCATGTGCACTACTAACATGTATCTGATGAAGTAGTTCAACAAACTCTTACAGTAAACTAGATACATACTAATACTGCCCATTCCAATACTACTATAAACATAAAACAAAGTCAAAAAGCAGCACATATCAATTAACCACCACCGTAACATCCCACCCCTACATATCAAAGCACAACTCCAGTACAGCCACCCCTACCTCTCCCCAAGAACCATCATAACTATACTATACTACAACTACATCCTCACCTACATCGCAGACTTAAGCAAAGCCCCCCCATCACTCCCCACCCACACCCCAGTAACAAACCCATCCTTCATACACCAAACATACGCCTCCGCCACATCCTCCGGCCTGCCCACCCTCCCCAACACCGTCCCCCTCCTAAACATCTCCTTAACCACCTCCCTCTCCTCCACCCCAATCGTATCAAATATCTCCGTCTCTACCGCCCCCGGCGCCACCACATTCGCCCTTATCGGCGCCAACTCCACCGCCAACCCCCTCACCAACCCACCCAGGGCACTCCCCGCCATCGCACCCAACGTCGTCCCCGGTACAGGCTTCGACGCCAATACCCCGGAGGTAAACGTCATCGACGAGGTATGTTCATCCACCATGTATGCCTTCGCATATTTACCCAGCATGAGGGGCGCCAGGACGCGGAGCGTCTCGCTTTGCGTGTAGAGTTGGGGAGTGAGGGCTGTGGTGGTGGGGGAGATGGGGATGCGGGAGGGGCGGGTGCCGGAGGTGTAGATTATATGATTTAACAGTATTCTCCCATTTTCCTCTTTGAGGGGTGTGGTTGTGGTTGTGTTGGGGAATATGGAAGGCGATGTAGCGTAGTCCAGTAAGGAAGTGATGGTAGTTTCTAGGGTAGCTTGATCATTCAGATCATATGCCTTTCCGGTAATGCGGGAGGTGAATGATGGGTCCGGGTAGAGTTGTTGAAGA